ACGGCGCTGCCCATGTCACTGTCCGCGCCGGCGCGGGGCTCTGGGCCGCAGGGCAGACCCTGTGCGGAGCGAGGACGTCGGCTGCGGACGTCCAGGCCCTGCGTTTGGCCGGCCGCCCGCGGTGTGCTGCGCTCCTCCCCGGAAGTCCCCGCACCCGAGGGGCAGGGCCTGGCGTCCGCCCGCGGCGTGGCTGGAGGCCGCCGCACGAACGCCACGCGCTACGTCGCCGCCGCTTCCGCGTTGCTGACTTCCGGACGCCATCTTTCTCCCGTGGAGGCGCCGCGACTGGGAGGGCGACGGAGCGGGAGCGTCGCGACGGAGCGGCCGCCGCCATGCCGTCGTCGCCGCTGCGGGTGGCGGTGGTGTGCTCGAGCAACCAGAACCGGAGCATGGAGGCGCACAACATCCTCAGGTAGTTGGGCTGCTCCCGGGCCCGCGCGCCCGTCGTCTCTCCCTCCGCTGCCCAGCCCGCGCAGGCGGCCCCGCCGGGGAAGTCGAGGCTCGGGCAGCGCTCAGCGTCGGGCTCGTTGGCCCCGCGGCGGGAACGGGAGCGCGCGGTGCCCGCACGTCGTTGGCATTGCGGGGAAGTCAGTTTCTGAGCCGGAATGCGCCCTGCGACTGCAGCCTAGCAGTTCCCGGTGACCCCGCGGGGGTCCGAGAGCGGGGCGGCGAACCAGGCGAGGGTCTGCTTGTTAGGGGTAGCGGATTGCATTTCCGATGTGTGTCGTTCCTTGTCCCATTTGCTGGAAAGTTCGCACAACGTGACTCCGGGATCGAAGGACTCTTGAAATAACAGACATGGTCTATGTTGTTAACGCTGTGAGTTTGTGTTTGCTGCTGTGTTGTTTCAAGTCAATAGAAAAAAATCCCCTTTCCCCTCTTGAAGTCCTCCAGTCGGTAGTGTCTGAAATGCACCTGGCTTCGGTTTGGCCCTGCCTAGTTTACATTTAGGTACTAACTCACCTTTGGTGACTCTTGTGTCGTATATGTTTAATAAAAGTGTATTCCTGTTTGATCCAGTTTTTTCGTTCGTAGTCACTTAACAAAATGAGAAACCATATGAGTTACAGTTTAGTACACATGTGAACACTGATAGTAAAACAAAGTTGAAACAGCTTTTTCTTCCGAAGTTACCCTATGTGAACTTGAAAAGGAAAACGGTACCTTGCTTCTCTTGTCATCACAATCTAATTTTGACTCTCTTGAGTAACTTCAGAAAATTAGAAGTCCCTCATTATTTAATGAAGCTGGAAGTGTCAAGTGTCCATGATCTGCTAATTCTGAGTTTCTTAAGTCTTTCTAAAGTCGTCTGCATTGTCCACAGTATTCGCTTAGTGGTTTTTTTTTTTTTTGTAGACTGTGGTGTCCTTTGATTCTGACAAAATTAGTATGAACGTTGTTTTTAAAGTAGAAATGTGCTAGAATTACATTGTGCTGGGTCTTCCTTTATGAAGTACACTTATCTTTTAAGTGTATCATTAAAAGTTTGATAAATTTAAGCAAAAAAATGCAAGATTCACACTTGGAAATTACCCAAGGAAAATAAAACTATGATCTTCAATTGGAATACCATGGTCTGAAGACCTCCTTGTTATGGTGTTTCTGGCTGGTAATCCTTTGTTTAATCTGTTTTTTTTGTATTTACACAACAAATGGGGTGAACTCTTACAAAAGGAAATGTTTTTGAAATTAACAGTTTTGGTAGTGAAATCTGGTTAAGTGGCTGTTTTATTTATTTATTTATTTTGAGACAGTCTCACTTTGTTGCCCAGGCTAGAGTGAGTGCCATGGCGTCATCCTAGCTCACAGCAACCTCAAACTTCCGGGCTCAAGCAATCCTTCCACCTCAGCCTCCCGAGTAGCTGGGACTACAGGCATGT